GTGTGCTCACATAGGTATATTGTGTCAAATCACAGTTTGCAAATGATAATTGTTCTCAATTTTGAATTTGTGATGCATTGAATCATGGTATTACCTATATTTCAGTCTTTAGATAGAACTTTGTATATAACTTAAAATATTAAGAGGATGACAAAGAAGGGAAACAAGACACAACAAAACCAAACCTGTCTTTCCTAACCGTTAGTTCATGGCCTAACCAGGTAAATGTTTATCACCTCTGCCAAGTCCCTCTGCTTTTTTCCCTGAGTTTACTTACTGCCCATGCCAGTTGTTCTCACAGTACTTTTCTCCTTTTTCTTTCCTCATTCTAGGGTTTATGGTAGAAATTTTAGACTGTTGACTTAAAATGACAATTTGTGTAGTGATTAAAGACATAAGCTTTGGAGTCAGATTCCCTGGGTTTAATTTCTGTACAATTTTAGGCAAAGTATCTAACTTTTCTAATTCTCAGTTTTCTTATCTGTACAATAATGGTAAGGCAAGTCCATCAGTCCATGTTCAAGTGCAAGCATATTTACATTTCTCATACAGGTTTTGTAAGGATAAGTGATATAAGGATGAAAAAGACTAACCAAAGTAAATGTTCAATGAAAATAAATTATCTATTTAGTTATTTATATTGTTTAATTATGTTATTATTCATGCTGGGAAACATAATGAACAAGCTTGCCTTCATCCATTGGTCAGTTATGCAGTGCATATTTACTAAAGGAAAGAGATAAAACATTAGCTTAGATTATGATGAGATAATGCCAAAGATCAGAATAAAAACTGAAAATAAATGGCAGACGTTCTCACACATCTGGTAGACTAAGCAGTAACGTTTTCACAGTTTTTCTTCACTTGGCATGTTTGGTGGAGGCTGGGGAGTGGCGGCAGGAAAGCAGCACACATGTATTCACTATTCCTTTCTTAAGCACTCAGTAAGCTATGGCCTATATGTACACCATGGAGCTTTCTTCGTTTCTATTCTTCATTAACTGTATAGACACAAAAATTTACTAGTCCTATCTTGCACTTTATAAAATTAAAGCACAGGGTGGTATTCAGACAGCTAGTAAGCATTGGAGCTGCAACACTGAGACGCAGGGCTTGTCCCCTCAAGAGCAGATACTCTTTCCCACTATCACATACATTTTATGACTGTAGGACTAATGACCAAGGAGAAGATTCTTTTCACTGACAGAGAATTGCATTGTCAATGCCAAACAATTTGTATATCCAAACTTGCTGTTGACAGTGTCTCTGTCTCATTTTCTCTTTTTAATGTATTTTTAATAGAAAACTTTTATTTAATAAATATAAATATAAATTTCAAAGTACAACTTTTGGATTATAGCAGTTTTTCCCCCATAGCCTCCCTCCCACCTGCAAACCATCCCATTTCCTACTCTCTCTCCCATCCCATTCTTCATCAAGATTCATTTTTAATTATCATTATATACAGATCAACTTAGTATATACTAAGTAAAGATTTCAACAGTTTTTACTCACACAGACAAAGTATTAAGTACTGTTTGAATACTAGTTTTACTGTTAATTCTCTTAGTACAACACAGTAAGAACAGAGGTCCTACATGGGGAGCAAGTGCACAGTGACTCCTGTTGTTGATTTAACAGTTGACATGCTTATTTATGACGTCAGTAATCACCCGAGGCTCCTGTCATGAGCTGCCAAGGCTATGGAAGCCTCTTGAGTTCACCAACTCCAATCTTATTTAGACAAGCCCATAATCAAAGTGGAAGTTCTCTCCTCCCTTCAGAGAAAGGTACTTCCTTCTTTGATGGCCCCTTGTTTCCACCGGGATCTCACTCGCTGAGATCTTTCATTTAGGTCATTTTTTTGCCAGAGCGTCTTGGCTTTCCATGCCTGAGAAACTCTCATGGGCTTTGTAGCCAGATCTGAATGCCTTAAGGGCTGATTCTGAGGCCAGAGTGCTGTTTAGGGCATTTGTCATTCTCTGAGTCTGCTGTGTATCCCTCTTCCCCATGTTGGATAATTCTCTCCTTTTTAATTCTATCAATTATTATTAGCAGATGACAGTGTCTCATTTTCACAGGTGAGAATATTTTCAAGAGATGGAGTTTTTACTCATACACATAATGTACAATTATACAAATTATAAAAATATAAACAAATTATACAAAAATAAAAATTACATATAACATATACATAAATAATAAAAATTATACAAAACATAAGGAAAGAACCTTATAAACACTAGTAGATGTTTATCCTTTAGAACACCCCTATGAACAGCACCTGATTGATGACATTGGTGATTGCAAGGGACACGTCTGGGCATCAGGGACTCTGTCACACCATATTTATTTGAAGTAGTGGTTTTATGAAAAATGAAGATTAAACGTTTGGAAAAGTTTTTGTAGCAAGGCAGGTCTCACCCTATTTAACATGGTTCTTAAGGGAAAAATATTTCCTGCTGTTCAGACAAATGTAAAAGGGCAGCGAACACAATGGCAGCAGTTGATTCTAACTGTTGACCTTAGAATGTGTGCTGTGGAGGAATGCTAACGACTCGCACCATGATGCATTGGCTTGTTTGGATACCATGAAAAGCTCTACTTGACAAGCATAATGATGAACTGCACTTTTCCCAGCAAGCAACACATGTTTGGATGATAGACAGCTCTGTTAAGGTTAGGATTTATTTATTCTCCAAGAATGAATTTTTCATCTGGTTCTGCAACCCTATGAAGCTGTTCAAAACTCAGACAATTCATTGCTGGTGAAGAGAACCCTCCTCCACAAGGCTGGGACTTGGTGGGTACAGAGTATAAGACGTATCTGTTTTGTCAACATAAAACTTCTTTGGTCCTCTAAAGGATGAATTTTCCATTTGGCTTCTAGTACATCTAACCCCATTATTTAATGCCTCAAAGTAACCTTACTTTTTAAATAAAATTCAGATTTATATGTAAGCAAAAATCTCCAACTCTCACTTAAATGGTTATTGTTGGATATTTTCTTATCCTTGACAGATTAACAACTCTTTCTGATCCTTTATTTTAAATATGTTATACAAAACAAAACAAAACAAATATGCTTGGCAATAAAGTGAATGTTTCCAGAATCATGTGAATATTCTTTTTCATTGTATTCTTTGTTTCCATGTATATAGCTTGGGAAATACTGAGTTCATTTAATATTTCCTAATAAATCAATATATCCTTCCTCCAAAAAGGTAATGAGAATGATTCATCAGAAAAGATTAAGTCCTTCCACAGATTATAATTTATGACTAGAAATGGTGGTCCATCCCAGAACAAAACTAACTGAATTGCTTCAAATTTTAGAAGTGCCATTTCTTGGGCTCTTAAGGATATCCTTTGGCTTTCAAAAATGTCATTTAAAATGTAAACACACTTGCAGATGTACACTTTAACCCTATATCAGTTAACATATTAATTATTAACCAAGATCTTAGCAGGAACTAATGGGCAGCTATGAAAGATAAGTTGAAATATATTTCATGCTTAATCAGAAATAAGCCTGGCTATGGAGACATTCTTTAAGATGTGATGTTTACCTCTGAACTCAGAATTTGAATTTTAATAGGCAGATAGGTAGAAAATGTCTAGAAAAGTATCTGAAAGTTTTGTAAATTTGAGATTTTATGATCACAAAACAAAGCTCATTGAGAACTAGTAAGCTTTTAAAATATAAAACGTAATCTAAGCACATTAGTATCAGTATCCCAGCAAGAAGTAGGTGGCATGCTCAAAGAGATAATTCAAGATAATGTAACGCAGGCACCCAAAGCAGACTTGAGAGAACTAACTAAAGATAACGAAGGACCCAGAAACCAAGAGCATGAAGCTGTTATTATCCTTAGGCCAGAAGATGCGAAGGGATAGTGTGTGTCACTGGAACACAGTGAGAGTTAAGGGGCAGACTGGCTGGAGTTACGACTCTCCAGACAGGACGGATCCATTGCCCAACAACCGCCCAGCAGGTCCTGCAGGGAAAACATACATACTCGGGTCTTTCATTGCCCTTGCTCTTTGATGTGTTACTCTTGCTTCCTATTGACCAAATCCAACCAGGAGCCAGATTACAAGGAAACTCAGCCAGTGTGTTTGTGAGAGGCCAGACCTCCACACTCCTGTAAGTGGAAGACAGAGATTGGGCCTGGAAGGGCAGGTGAAGAATAACTCATTTTACACTTATAATTACATGGGCTATCAACCTCTCCTTAAGCCTCTGAGGAGCTGGAGGGAACCATCTGCCATTATTCTACTCCACTGAATTTCTCATCTCCCATGGTATACAGTCCTCATTTAGGTTTTTATTCATTTGTTGTTCTACGTCATTCTGTACTAGAGTATGATGCAGTCCTTACAGCAAGCCTATTTTTATTTTTTGCATAGTAATCTTCATCTGTCTTTTTTGTTGAAGTTTGCTTGGTACCATGTCTTAAGTAGTTGATTTCAAGCAAGGATTTCTCTCTTTGTCATACTCCCTACCATCCTGGCTACCTGATTTTCTCAGGGAACTGGGATAGTTCTCCTGTCTGCATCTCCTTACTGTTACAGTGCTTCACCTTTCTCGGCAATGCAAGGGACTTTCTGAATTCTTGGTAATGAGAGAAGTCACTTTCTGACTGGGATAAAACTTCACAATGTGGAATAATTATTTTAAATGTATAATCAAACATCTCATGTCTTTCCCTAAGCTTCCCTATGCTTTATTTTTGGTTCCTTTAAATTGACTTAGTTTCCTTTGTTTGCATCTATCTATGTGCAATGTCTTGACTTAAATATTGACATTTTGGTACATAATGAATTTTGTGTGTGTTTGGTTGCAGGGGCTTGGGGAGAAGTGTCTAAGATGGTCTTGTAGGTTAACAGGTGAATAAAAGTCGGGGTTTGTTTTAAAGTTTGCAGATCCTGTTTCTCGGGAATGGTGGGATGGATTTCAGAAGCTGTATGATTTAACTCTGCCTCCTTTTTTCCTTCAGATTCGAAGCCAGAGCAAAGCCTCTGGGTCTGGGCTGTGTGAAGGGGATGAAGTGGTTTCTATCAATGGCAACCCTTGCGCAGATCTCACCTATCCTGAAGTCATCAAACTCATGGAAAGTATAACAGACTCTCTCCAAATGCTCATCAAAAGGTACAACAGAGTCGTTGGCATATATTTTTTTCTTGTTAGTGGATAGAAACAATAACTTCTAGTGCATACTATGTGATATTTGTCCTTTAAGGGGAAATTGGTGGTGTTTTGTAGAAAGTCAGTATGTTTTAACAGAAACACTCAAGTGCATGAAAAATGAGCCATTCTCTTCTATTGAACTTTTTGGTTAATTGAGAATTAACTTTAAAATCTTATGCATTTTAGAGTACTCAGTCTCCTTACAAGACTCAGTGAAGTGAGCCTTACAGGGGTCAGAATTTTGCCGTGGGTCAAGATCACTCAATTATGATTCCCAGATGAATTAAAGTGGTGGCTGAAATCTGTGACAGCAGAGGAAATCTAGCATTATTCTTGGTATTTCTCATCTCAGTATTTATTCATCAAGCCCAATGTGTAAGGCTGTTGGATCCCACTTGTTTGTAAAGCTGCTTGCCTTTTTTCTATTATTTAACAAAATATTTATTTAATTGAGAGAGAAAGAAAGAACAAGCCCTGATCTTCTGGTTCACTCCCCAGAAGTCCACAACAGCTGAAGCAGGGCTGAGGCTGAAGTCAGAAGCTGGAAACTCAATCCAGGTCTTCATTGTGGGTGGTAGGGACCCAGTGTCCGAGCCTGCATTACTGCCTCCCAGGGTGTGCATTTAGCAGGAAGCAAGAGTGAGGAGCAGGAGCTGGGAATTGAACTCAAGCATTTCGATGTGGGATGTTAGCATTTTATCACTAGGCCAAAATAGGAATATTGCCAAGTGTAGTTACAATGTTTGCCATTAACAGGAACAAGCCTATGAGGTATTTGAAAATGTCCTTCTTCGGGAATGTGTAATCATTTCCAAAATGGGGTAAAACATCTTTTCTAATTTATTTACTTCTTAGTGTCTTTAGTGACGTAATGAGGTCAAGTTCACTGAAATACCTTTGTCATCTGGGACTTCCCCTGCTGATCCTTGTTTTGATTCTGATGGCTATCATGGGGGAAAATCCTTGCAAGTTTAAAGCTGAATCTTAGGTACATATTTACTCTCAGAAATAGGCTGGTGACTAGTTCTCTGCTGCTTTTAATAACTGGAATCATGCTTTTTACTATTTTCTCTTGAGTATGTTGACTTTTTACAAAATATCTAATTACTTGATGGGATTCATAACAGAATCCCAAATTAAAATGAGTCCTGTGGCCACAGCAGCAGCAGCATTGTCGTCACCACCATCACCACCGCTCTGGGTGCCTGAATATGGTTTCTGCAACTAACTATTTCTCCTACTCCTATTCCCATCAGCTATCACTAGAGGACAGATGTTTTACTTTCCTTGGACTGTTGTCTAGATTATTATTTGTTAAAGCTCCTTTCAGGTTAGGTCTCTGTTATCTTAAATTGTATTAAAATAAGATAAAAATAAATGATTATATAATTAGAACACATTAGTTGTGGAATTGAGTACCCAAATAGACAAGGAAAATGCTTTGAGGTATACAGCTTTAATCTCTCTCTTTCTGTCTCTCTGTCTCTCTTACTGCTCTGTCCTGCTTTCATGATTTTTATCCACGTATATACATTATGTTTTATCTATTGATAAATGTTAATGTTTTTCTGGCCCATTTGCCTGTATTCCAGTCTCTTCTCAGCTTCACAATTGACTGCTAACATAACTCAAAGTGATTTAATCTGCTTCAATCCCAAGGCTTTGTAAATTAAAACTCTCTGACCTTTTGATACCTTCAAACTCAATTTCCTAGCATATATTCATCATTTCCTATATCAGAATGATCTAATTTGCTGTCATTATGTTTTTAAATACTATATCATAATGTTTTTATAAATACGATTTTATCAAAAAGATTTTCAGGTTACTTGCATGAATAAAACAGCAATTTGTTTATTTTTGTTTGTTTTGTTAATGTAGTCAAAAGCCAAGTTACAAGTAAATATTTGGGACCTTCGTCTGAAATTTTACTATGGCATGAATTATACGGTAGAAAGAAGTAGGAGCACACGTCCTTCAGTGGATGTTCTCTGCATGAGTCAGGGTGCATTTTGAAGGAGGAGATAGCCATTTCTGCTTAAAAAAAAAAAAAAAAACACCTTTTTTTAAAAAGCCCTGTAACGATTCTATGCTGTTCTATGAATGGCGCTTCTCTTCTGAAAGCATGTAGAGTTTAGAGGTTTAGAGATGTTGTTCAATTCTAAATTGACATGACTTCTTGTCACAGACCCAGATTTGCACAGCCAGCTGGGAATGGTAAAGGTCAAAAATCAAAAGGCTGTGGCCAACAGCTCTGGGGTCCCTGGTTGAGAGATAAAGGAGCAGTATGACTTCCAAGATTCCAAAAGGAAAATGCTGCAAGAGGCAGGTTCAGCTGGGAGAAGGGGAGACATCTCAAATTATAAATACTCCATGACTTCATGATTCATTGCGGCATGGAAAGGATTTCTCTTTACACAAGAACACCGGGCTGGGGTCCATTATTACAAAACACAGTCTCACCAGAGCTTAAAACACAGCTTGCATTTCATTCCTTTCAAGAAAACACAGCCTCCAGAGGGGTAACCTGAATCATCTGTAATTCAAGATTGACATGAAGCTGCTAGATATGTTTATGTGACTTTGTGATGTCTAGACATTGAAACGTTTTGTCACATGATAGCAAACATGGTTATTTGGAAATACCCAAATTATTACAGATCGTAGGCATCCATGTAATTACAGCGTGTACTTTTCAAAACAAAAGCTGAATTTAAGATGGATTTAGGTTTCAAAATCTTTTGTAAGCCTTTTGTTGTGCTGCCCCAAAAGCATATATGGACATTCTTTAAATAACAATATGAATATGTTGCCAATTTTAGTTTTTAAACATGTGGCTGTTGACATTTTGGAGGGAATATCTTGATTGTACCACACACGGCTTAGACATCATGAATGTCAAAAAGTTGTGTGGCAGGTGTAGCATGCTCCAGTTTAACTGCCTGGATTTGTTTTTCTGTGTGCAGACCATCCAGTGGGATGAGTGAGGCTTTGAGCTCTGAAACCGAAAACAAAAGCCATGAGCATCTCACACAAGAGGAGTATGTGGAAAGCACCACTCTCCAGATTCGCCCAGCCACAAACACCCAGCACAGAGAGCTCTTCGTGGTACCAGCCAAGGTGGCAGTTAACCCAGCTGAGGACCAAAGAAGTGGTCCCGGTTGTTCAGGGAACTCTGAAGAAGAAACAGGCCTCAGCTACCGCGGGGCCCCCCGAGTGCTTGACTCCCAAGGGGGAGACTTGGCAGAAGAAATTATCCTCCGGGAAGGAGCAGGCGCTGGGCAGCCAAGCCCTGTGGTGGAGCTACAACTGTCCCTTTCACAGCAGAGATCCGAGGGCCCCGTGCTGGCTCTCTTGGGAGCTGAAAAATCTAAGTCTCCTGACCCACACCCTACTTCACAGCACGACAAGATTATCCACATAAATTCAGTCGCTACTTATGAGAAGCCAGACCCTTCTCTGAGGTCCAGCAAGATAATCCAGATCTCCAGTGGCAGCGAGCTGCGAGTGACCCAGGGAAGTGGAGCAGGAGACGCGGGGCTGCCCCGAGTGGAAGTGATCCTCGACTGCTCTGACAGGCAGAAGACGGAAGGGTGCAGGCTTCAGCCAGGGAAGGGGTGTGTGGATTCCCCAGTGGAAGGAGGGCAGTCAGAAGCACCTCCTTCTCTGGTATCCTTTGCCGTCTCATCAGAAGGCACAGAGCAGGGAGACGCTGCGCGCTCGGAAAAGGATCACAGCCGACCTCACAAGCACAGAGCGAGGCACGCGCGTAAGTCCGGGCTGTCAGCAGGGGCTTGGGAGGGTAGGGCGTTTTGCTGCTGCTTTGCCTGCATGACACTTGCTTGTATAAAAGCTGACTTTTATGTCTCCCACTGCATTTTTTTTAAAAAAGAGTGATTAATGCACAAAATAACAATTGTGAAATTGTTAAGTATACTTCACAAATTCTGCCTGGGAAGCAGTGTGTTTGAACTTCATAGCAGATATAAAGATTTTTCATGAATTTCTTTTTCACTCCAAAGATACAGGCACAGTCCAAGAAAATAATGCTGTCAGAGTGTCTTTTCAATTTGTCTCCCAATGCTGTACTATTTCATGCTGCCATAGCATAAGAGAGTGTTGTGGGAGATCACGTGGTGTCTGAGTTTAAAGAGCTGTCTTTAAAATACAGGCTCCACCGCTAATATTAAAAGCAGATCCTCCTTTTGAAAAAAGTCGTTCTGCAGCTTGATGATGCTTGCAGAAGTGCGTTTGACAGACAAGGACACGTGTCAGGCTGAGCAGTTACATGATCCCCTCCGTTTTGCCAGTCTTCACTAGACGGCAAGTGTTTCATCCACCTTCTAGACACAGAAGTCTGCCTTCCGGGCCACAGGGACGCATCTCGGTGTCCCCCAACAGAAAATAAACTTACATTCAAGGCTCTGAACAGCATTTTGGTTTTATTCAGAGAAGTGTGCACAGAAAAGAGAAGGTGAATAAGAATTGCAGTTGGGTATTACGACTTTTGTGGTTTTCTTTCGTATTTATATTATGCAAATATGTATATAAATATATATATTTTACAAATTTGGGAATTTCATTTGAGGATATAAAGGCTGACTGGAAAAGGCACTTGACTGTGTGAATGATTCTCAGGAACTGTGAACTCCATTATTCAAAGTCATATCCTAAGTTTTCTAAACTATTGTTATTCCTTTCAAAGCTTATTTTTAGCATAGCCATTTGTAGCCTTATTGGCAAGTGCTGTTAATCATCCCTTATACTTTAAGCGTCTGTGTGCCATCTTCACATTTATAGCATATTGAACAGGAGTATTAAGACGGCATTCACATACTTTACGTGTTGGCACTGAAGTTAGCAACAACTGTGGCTGTCAGTTTAATAATAAGTTGTATAACACTAGTCAAAAAAGGAGTCACATTTAGTAGTGACCACATTCTGAACTATTTTTTCTCTATAAAACTTGATCACCAGTGAATAGCTATAATTTCATTACTCAATTATTTCATCAGATTTTTTTTCATTAACCATTAAATGTGATGCTTTTTCCAGTGACCAAAATAGCTAGTATAAAGTATTCTAATTTTTTTATGGGATTTGCATTTAGCTGCTTTGAGGAATTAAAAACTTTGTGATTCACTGAAAACATGATTATGATTAACTGCTGATATAAATTAATTAGTCATCAAGTTATTTTTAATAAAAATTTTAAATATAATTTTTCCTGTATCATTCTTTATACACTCTAAAAAAGGGTCCAAGTCATGTAATTTAAACATTTCCCCCAAGATTTACACTTATTCTTGCTGCAATTAATAGAGTATTATATTTCCAAAAAAGCAATATATTTATGAGCAAATTTATCTGGACAACTTTGTACCTAAAGTTGATTACATGTACTCACAATGATCTAGTTTTCTGAATTATAAATAGTTACTCAATAAATTATTAGTTCAGTGTTTTGAGTTGATATTAATTCTATAGCTATAAATGGAAAAATTTGAGATGGTTGTCAAAATTTAAAGAAAAAGAGGAAGAAACCCCAAATATCTAAATTCTTTACATTTTGAAAGATTTAAAAATTTTTGTTGAGACACCTTCTCCCCTTTTTAGAATGCTTGGAAACAATTTTATATTGACATTTTATTTTTTAAATATGGAAGTACAAAGAATGTCTTGTCATGTTTTTTAAAAATCATTTTCTTAAATTATGCCCTTTAAAGTTTTAATTTATACTACTAATTGGCATTTACTAGCCAATTTTACTGTGGAAGCATAAGGACCCATGGAGAAACAAAGGTACGAAACGTCTATTGTAATCAGCATAGATAAAAATATATTTATATAAGCAAATGGAACAGAGGGCTGATTGTATATTATTGTAGAAGTATGCGCTTCTTCAAAATTCAGTCCAATTGCTAGAATTTTTCCCATGCTCCTTTTCCCCAATGGGAGTCAGATTCTGGGTTGCTGAGGAATCTGCCTTGAGCTCATCAACTGACTACTGTTTCTATTCTTTCCCTAGGGCTCAGGAGGAGTGAAAGCCTGTCAGAAAAGCAGGTGAAAGAAGCCAAATCTAAATGCAAAAGCATTGCCCTTCTTCTAACAGATGCCCCCAACCCCAACTCCAAGGGGGTGTTGATGTTTAAGAAGCGCCGGCGGAGGGCCAGGAAATACACACTAGTCAGCTACGGTACTGGCGAGCTTGAGCGAGAGGCAGACGAGGAGGAGGAAGAAGGGGACAGGGAGGAGACTTGTGAAGTTGCATTTCTGGGCACTAGCGAGTCGGAGGTGGATGAAGAGTTACTCTCTGACGTTGACGACAACACACAAGTTGTGAACTTTGACTGGGATTCTGGACTGGTGGACTTTGAAAAGAAACTGAACAGAGACGACAAGATGGAGATGTTGCCAGACACGACGGGAAAGGGAGCCCTCATGTTTGCCAAGAGGAGGGAGAGAATGGATCAGATCACAGCCCAGAAAGAAGAGGAGAGGGTGAGCGGAATGCCAGGCAGAGAACCAGATGCTGCCCAGACGGATGGCCTGAGAACCACGACTTCTTACCAAAGAAAGGAAGAGGAATCCGTGAGGGTGCAGAGCTCTGTGAGCAGGAGCTACATCCAGATGGGCCCTGGTCCCGGCCATGTGCCGCAGCAGAATGGCTTCAGTGGGGTGTCTGAGACGGCAGAGGCGCAGAGGATGAACCCGATGAACAGAACAGCCAAGCCCTTCCCAGGGTCTGTGAACCAGCCAGCAACCCCCTTCTCTCCAACCCGCAACATGACAAGTCCCATCTCCGACTTTCCTGCGCCACCACCCTATTCTGCGGTCACTCCTCCACCTGAAGCCTTCTCCAGAGGGGTGTCAAGTCCGACTGCTGGCCCCGCACAGCCCCCGCCATGGCCGCAGCCTGCTCCGTGGTCCCATACAGCCTTTTACGATTCATCTGAGCGAATAGCTTCCCGGGATGAGAGGATCGCAGTGCCAGCGAAAAGAACAGGAATATTGCAGGAAGCCAAGAGGAGAAGCACAACAAAACCCATGTTTACTTTTAAGGAGCCCAAAGTCAGCCCGAATCCTGAACTCCTGTCCCTTCTTCAAAATTCAGAAGGCAAACGGGGCACTGGAGGCGATTCCGGACCTGAAGAAGACTATCTCAGCCTAGGGGCAGAAGCTTGCAACTTCATGCAAAGCTCCTCTGCTAAGCAAAAGACCCCACCTCCTGTTGCTCCAAAACCTGCAGTCAAGTCCTCCTCCTCCCAGCCTGTCACTCCTGTTTCTCCTGTCTGGTCTCCAGGGGTGACTCCAGCCCAACCTCCTGCCTTCCCTATGTCAAGTGCATCGCAGGGCCCGATGGTTTCCTCCATCAAAATAGCTCAGCCTGCTTATCCTGCCCGGCCTGCGAGTGCACTGAACCTATCTGGTCCCTTCAAAGGACCACAAGCAGCAGTAGCCAGTCAGCATTATACACCGAAGCCAGCAGCTCCCACACCAACAGTGAATGCCCATGCAGGTGCAGTGGGACCATCCAATGAGCTTCCTGGAATGAGTGGGAAAGGAGCCCAGCTCTTCGCCAAAAGGCAGTCAAGAATGGAGAAGTATGTGGTTGATTCAGACACAGTGCAAGCCCATGCTGCCCGAGCTCAGTCTCCCACTCCATCTCTTCCAGCCAGTTGGAAGTACTCCTCCAATGTCCGAGCCCCTCCTCCTGTGGCCTACAATCCTATCCACTCCCCCTCCTACCCACCGGCTGCTGTCAAGTCTCAGCCATCAGCCCCACAAGCCTCTAAAGTGAGCAAGAAAAAGGGCAAGAAACCCCTCAATGCTCTGGATGTCATGAAGCACCAACCATATCAGCTCAATGCATCCTTGTTTACTTTCCAACCTCCCGATGCAAAGGATGGCCTCCCCCAGAAGGCATCAGCCAAGGTCAACTCCAACCCGGCCATAAAGCAAGCTCTTCCTCCCCGACCAGTGAATGTTGGCTCACCCACAAATGTGCAGGCTTCCTCAGTGTACTCAGTGCCAGCCTATACCTCTCAGCCTCCCTACTTTGCAGAGGCCAGCTCACCAGTCAGCGCATCCCCCGTGCCCGTGGGCGTCCCCACTTCTCCAAAGCAAGGATCAGCCTCCTCATCTTATTTTGTGGCGCCGAGGCCGAAGTTCTCAGCCAAGAAAAGTGGTGTCACAGTCCAGGTGTGGAAACCATCCATTGTGGAAGAGTAATCTTGTAGCTGAAGCTGAGTGTCCACTTTGCTTGAAATGAATTGTTTGCAGTGTTACCTGAATCCCTGAGAATGCCAAGCAAGTCCTCAACTTACTTAATTTCAGATATGTCACCTCCCAATCTGGGTCCAAGGAGTATAATATTTGTAATGAGTCAAAAATCCAACTCAGATTGACTTAACGCACGCACACACACATATATCTACTTTGCACACTTAAAAAAATCTGGGAGCACCCCAAAATAGACATGTGCCATATGTTAAGTAAGCAGGATACTTAGGACTTATGCGTTAGCCACTTGACAGACAGTGATCAGTGTTATCAGACATTGGAACACGGCCTTTATGTAACAGAACTGCTGTGAGCCTATGGTGAAAAGGTTCAAACGTAGTGAAAATAGGACATGTATTTACTGAGACTTTCTTTTTCTATTGCTAGTGTTATGGGAGTGGGAAATCTGTAGAGGACAGGGGTCAGCTCTGGTCTGGCAACCTCGGCCACCTGTTTGATGTCACAGAGGAGAGCCTCTGGGGATTGTGGGGATGCACGTAGTTTAGCGGGTGGTGAGTAAGAAAGAGGGTCTTGGTCATTACTAAGCACTCATGACATGTTAGGCTCTCTAAAGAGCCCAGTGTTTTCACGCCTGTTAACTCATTTCAGAAGACCTATTTGAAGTAAATGGGATAGGGCAAGAGGATCCTTGTCTCCGGAGATCGAGTCCCATCTTTCTTCCCCTGTTACTTAAGGAACTCAGTGAGTGCATCTCCAGTTGCCCATGAAAGCATCAGTTTGTTTTCCGCAGCCGAGGCAACTGGTAAAGTACAGGATAACAAAGTCACATAGTCAAAGAAGGAAGCTCAAAGAGCTGTGAATGGCTGGCTGTCATTTTCCCTTGGGAAGCCACACGATTGGGACCTGAAGGGTTCCTGACTGCAGAGGCTGATGGTGAAGCATGAGGAGCCCGTGTGCATGGAGACTGTAGGGTGAGAACACACGGTCAGTAGCACCGTGTCTGAGTGACCTCACAGATTTTCTTCCTGTGTTCGTTTTGCTTCTTGACAGCTGCTTCTCCCACTGTTCCTTGCCATTTCTATTCTCGCACCTTCACTTTATTATTTGATGGACCAGGATAATCCAGGCAAGGTTACCTTGTATATTTGGATTGGTCATACAGCATGTCATCATCCAACTGGCTATGAAGTTAATAGTGTTACTGAAAGCAAACCTGAAGACCTTTCTCATTTCTATTTTAAGTCTGAGTCTGACCAACCATGGAAAATATTCAACAGGAATTAATGTAGAGAACTATAAAGCACTTAGGGCAGTTCCAAAGAATACCGTCTACTCTAAGCAGGAGATACATTTACAGACTTCGCATAAAAACTTGCCTGGTTTGAGGGTACATGGTACCATTTAATCCTCTGAAAATATCTGTAATCCTGTTCTTTTTCTGCTGACACTGTCAATCTGCTATATTTTTCACTACCCTATTAAAATATTACTTTCTTCTTTCTCTGTTCAATGTGTGTATTTTAAAAAAAAGTTTTCTTTATATGACCTGTTCTAAGTCATTTTTCGTAACATCTGAATTTCCTTTTTCAAGTGTACCCGTGTCTCTATACATTATAAAACTGCAGGCTTTAGGTATTTCTAAAACACAACACACTAAGAGGAGGAATGATGGAGCTGATTCTTCTGCTTTTTCTCTGGAAAATGTTCCATTGTCTTTGGTGGCAGTTTACCAGTAGGTTACAAACACAGGCTGTAGTTCCATCTTTTATTTGCCTTTTTGGGAAATCAGTTAAGAAGATCAATAGAGGATAAAGGAAAAAGTGTTCTTTTTATCATATAACACAATTGTTTGTATTATTTATTTTCTGCAAAGGAAGTCTGTTGAGTGCTGTGGATTTTGTATTTTTTTAACTAAAAAAAGTCTTTTTAAGGTGAAACAGGAAGGGAGATAATTTTCATAATGTTGCATTCTTAACATAGCATTTAAAGAACAGCATATGCTAGAGGAAAGGCATGGAACACACAGGTAGTCAATTTAAGACCATCCATTCAAAGTATGCTAGGATGGTAATGACCTAGAAATATTCCCAGTTGTCCAGTGGTTTGCGGTATGCAGGAATGAGAAGTGTTTTCAGTCCATTTCCTGTTGGACAGGTGGCAGTCTTAGCAGAGTCCCTATTTGGAGTTGATGACTAAAGACACAGTTAACATGAATGTGTCTTCCAGTCATCCTGGCACTGTTTGGGTTTCCAAAAAGCTTCTTAGAGACATGCCAGGCATGCGGTCAAAGCATGTACAACCTCAACTGGGAACTGGTAGTATAGGTCTCATCTTGGACCATGTAATCCCTCTTTATAGAAGAGAAAACTCTAAAACAATATCCACAACAGAGAGCCTGACCTCTGAGGCATATGGAAGTGGGAGGGAGGACTAAGGCAGTTCCCTGGCGTAAGAGAGATTTCCTTTCCCTCTTCCCTCCAGGGAGCTGTATGTACCACATTTCAGGTTGAGGCTATGAAAGTGACATCATTGTATCAGGTGGGAGGGTTAGAACCCAGGGCATCAGCCTCTCTCCAGGCACCATTTGTAGTCTGAGCATTGCTGGTTTTTGTTGTAATGATGGTTGGTTGAGTAGTTGGTTGGCTGGTTATGGGACTTGGAGAGGCAGTTTTTGCTTTGTTTTTAACAACTTGCATCTTCCTCTGTCCTTTGTTAGCTTTATTTCTATGTAAAGCACCCATGAAGTCCGTTTTCGTTGTCAGCATAATGGCAGCAGTCATTTACTGAGTGCCTGTGTTGTGTTAGACGCCCTGTGGGCATCATCCTAAGGACTCCACTGCATGGTTTATACTGGCACTGAAATATCGACTACAGTGTGATCATAATCACTGACTTTATGCAGTTTTGTAAACAAATTTCTTTTTCCATGACTTTCCCCTTATTAATGTTTCCAACCTCTCTTCCTGGTGAGGATGGTGTGCCATAGTGAGAATGCATGCTTGAGATTCGAGCAGGAAGAAAGGTTAATGCAAGTTTAGCACACACACCACCCCCCTTACAGGAGGGCACACTGGATCACAGAACTGGTGAGGTTGCCACTTTAATCTTGGACTATTTGCGGTTTTATTTCTAACGTTTTAATAATAGACACACTCTGTTTTGAGAGAAGATATACATTGTTTCTGCATGTGGATAGTAGATAGCATATACAGCATACACTTATAGGATTATATGTTATAAGACATATGTGGGCTGTTACTCTAGAGCATGTGAAACTTTGCATTTCAAAATACATCTTGTATGAGTTAGTAACATGTATCATGCCTTTGCATTAACTATTTCATTTAATCTTCACAAGAAGTAACTCAATTTTAACCATAGCAAAATCAATCCGAGTTACAAACAGTTCCTTAAAATAAGCCAGGGCCACTGAACTGCTCTGGGGTAGTGCTGACTTTCAGGAAGCAGGCCTCGTGGGACAGCTGGGATATCACACAACCTGAATTCTAGCCTGGTGCCAAGAGTCGCATCTGAGACATGGAAAACTATTGATTTCCATTTACTGATCTACATTAAAGGAGTGAGGTGGAGTAAGGAGGATTTTCCCAAATGCAGCAGTGCGGTTAGACCTTTGAAGGTTGGTTTGCTGCTGCCAGGCATGCCAAGCCTTCTATGTGGTTCTTTCTCAGTGAAGCCACTTGAGAGCAGAAGACACGTGGCTGCTAAGTGTCTCAGTCTGGAATTTTTATTTTATTTTATTTTTTGACAGGCAGAGTGGACAGTGAGAGAGAGAGACAGAGAGAAAGGTCCTCCCCCTGCCGTTGGTTCACCCTCCAATGGCCGCTGCAGCCAGCGCACCGCGCTGATCCGAAGCCAGGAGCCAGGTACTTATCCTGGTCTCCCATGGGGTGCAGGGCCAAAGCACTTGGGCCATCCTCCACTGCACTCCCTGGCCACAGCAGAGAGCTGGCCTGGAAGAGGGGCAACCGGGACAGAATCCAGCGCCCCGACCAGGACTACAACCCGGTGTGCTGGCGCCGCAAGGCGGAGGATTAGCCTAGTGAGCCGCGGTGCCAGCCTCAGTTTGGAATTAATCTTCCAAATAAAACCTTCATTGCTGTGTATAGTTTTATATACTTACAAATTAGAGACCCTGTAAGCACCTACATTCTAAGAGTGAATTCCTGAGATCAGTGGTGCTGTTTGATGAGTCACCACCAACTCGGCAGGAAGCATATTTGAAGTCACCATCATCAAAAAGAAGTGTTTTCTGAACAGCTAAATGCTTAAAATGCTTCCCAAGGGAAGTGGTGGGGTGTGTGCTCATTCTCTACTGAAGTCAGGGCTGTTGAGTTTGTTTTTAGACTTTTTTGATAAGTTCATGAGAAAAGGATGTAAATTCTAAGAACCCACATTGTATTCCCAGAGGTACTGACCCTCGCTGGTCTTATGTCCCCAGTCTCATTGGACTCGGGGGGACTCAAAGACCCATGCGACACTTTGGTGCTGCTGAGTTCATCAACAAGTGTTCTGGGAAAAACAGAACTGAATTCTTCTCTAGACTTCCCACCAGGGTTGGCATAGGGCCACAGGCAAACTAACAAATTCCCACAGGACCCAAACTCCAGGCAGAATTGGTGGAAGAGGTCAGTCTCTTGTTTATCCTGCTATGGTTCTCAAAAATATGTACAGAAATTAGAGGTCAGTCATCTGTGACTGTCAGGTCCATGACAGCCCACCGTCCACAGGAGCCTATGAATCACAATCCCCCTTTCCTTGGTATAGCAGGTGCTGATCATTCCTGAACTTTTAAAAAATAGAATGTTTCTAGGTATGCACATGTGTACACTAAACTACCACTGGGCATTGGAAATTTTAGAACTACTCACAGGCAATTGAACTGAAACTTAATTAAAAATACTGATGCCTGCCAAACATTTCCCAGTTTCTTGATGTAA